CCTCGTATCGGAAATCCTCGGAATCATCTCTTCCAAAAAATCTCACGCCGCCGCTTGCGCCGCCGCGATCGGACGACGGATCGGAAGAACACGGAACTGGATCGTCGCGCTCAAATCCCTAGTCCTCGTCCTCAGGATTTTCCAAGACGGAGATCCATATTTCCCTCGAGAAGTCCTCCACGCAATGAAACGAGGCTCGAAAATCCTCAATCTCTCCAGTTTCCGCGACGATTCGAACTCGTGCCCTTGGGATTTCACAGCTTTCGTCCGTACATTCGCTCTCTACCTCGACGAACGTCTCGATTGCTTCCTCACCGGAAAATTACAGAGACGGTCCACTAACCGGGAACAAACCGGAAGAATCAGTACCTTTTCCAGATCCCGGTTTAATCCAAGAACCGGAATTAAATCACACGAACCGGCGGTTCGTGACATGAAACCGGTTATGCTGCTTGATAAAATCACGTATTGGCAGAGATTGCTAGACAGAGCGATCGCGACGCGGCCAACTGGAGACGCGAAATCGAACAAGCTCGTGAAAATGTCGCTGTACGCGGTCACGCAAGAGAGTTTCGATCTTTATAGAGATATTTCCGACGGATTAGCGATTTTGTTAGACAGTTTCTTCCATTTGCAATACCAATCTTGCATGAACGCGTTTCAAGCTTGTGTTCGAGCTTCGAAACAGTTCGAAGAGCTTAACGGATTCTACGATCTTTGTAAATCGAACGGCGTAGGACGAACATCGGAGTATCCGAGCATTCAAAAGATCTCTCTAGAGCTTCTTGAGACGTTGCAAGAGTTTTTAAAGGATCAGTCTTCGTTTCCGGCCAATGCGGGGATGTATCCGTCTCCAAATAGTAGTCTTCTTCCTCCGCCTGCTTCTAAAGATTCGACGATTTCTAGCTCGCTTGATTCTTCGGATTACGGGTCGTTTCGTAGTACTTGTTTGGAGGATTTGATGAGCAGGACTGAAGCAGGGACTAGTAGTCCTCCAATGTCTTGTCAGTCAGAGCCTTACGATCGTTATCCGAATGGGAATAATTTCGATACGGTTTCGACTCAGTCGCTTCCGAATAATCCCTCTGTTTCTGCTTCCAGTCTCACATTAGACCTATTGTTGCTGGATGATGTTAAAGAGAAGAAGCAAGAAGATTCAAAGGCGGAAAATTTCGATCCTTGGGAGGCGTTGATGTTGAGAGATGAACCGAGGAAGAACATAGAAACAATTCCGGAAGAAGAACCATCAACCTCTGAGGATCAAACAGATTCAGGGAATTGGTTGCTTGCGTTGGAAGAAACCGCGACGCTAGTACAGGATGATAACTCGATGGCGATAGTACCGTTCGGATTAGATGATCCGATGCCAGTGTTTCAAGCCACCATGGACACATACAATCCATTCTTGGAAGTATCCGCTGCGCCATTACCCGAGTTTGAGCCTTTAGCTGCAGCCGGTCCTATGACCACGTTCAGTGCTTTGGCTGTGACGGAGTTTCAGCCAGAACCGACGTTTCAGGTGCACGTTCCTGAAGATTTTGAGCTGTCGTCTACGCCAACGTTCAAGGCAGCGTTGCCGGCGAAATGTGACCCATTTGCAACATTTGAGAGTTTTGGGTTCGGAGAGACGTTTTCAGAAAATGGAGTGGTACATCAACAAGCTATGTTGCAAGAACAACAGTTATGGTTGCAGAACCAAAACAAGATCATAGCTAAGCATTTGAATTGATATAATCTTTAATTTGGCTAGACAGGGATTGAGATGTATTCTTTGATTTTATTTTCTTTTGTTACATTGTAAATTGTACTCTTAACTCATTTGTTCATAACTAGAGAAAGGTGAAATACAACAATTGTTTGATTCAAACAAAATATGTACATTCAACAACACAGTTTGTTATGATCACACCAATTGTTTGATCTGGATGCAGGATTGCAACATATTTTAAAAATATTGGGTGAGATTTCCTTCTTCTTTTTGTTTTTTACTTGGTGAGATTTTTCCATTACACATATATTTTGGAGTTTGAAGAACAAAAAAAGTTTTGTTTTACATGTGATGTGAACTAACATATTTAGTCTGTTTAGAACTTCTCATTTTATCTATCGAATTGAATTGCAATCTTTCATGAAATGTTGATGAGTAACCCTACTGTAATGACTTAAAAAGCTAAAACCCAATTCAGAAAAAGTTCGAAATGTGCCACTCAAACTTGGTCCGTTGCCAAATGTTGTTTGCATTCACATAATAACATGCAAATATGATGTAACGTCTATTTTCTACTATATTGAAGATATGGATTACACATGCATGTATTTGTGTATACTTATCTCTATACGTAATTTATTGTATGTATATCGGTGGAGGATAATGAAGATGGAAGCCAAATGGAATAAAGAGAGTAGGTCCATGAATAGGCCAAGTGGGTTTTGTGGTGTCGATAACATGAGATTGACTAAAGCTGTAGCTTGACCCCAAGCCCACGAGGGAGAGATCTACCAACCAAAATCATGCATCAATCATCTTTTCCTATTAATTGGCCCGCCACAAAAATTAATTCATACACCAAAATTTAAATTCCCCATTGACTCGAGTCGTTTTCATTTTTTACATTTTGTAAATTACACAATAGTAAAATGTTTTGGACACGTGAACTTTGCTTTCTTAGTCTTCCTTCTTGACTTCTTAATTTGTTGTTTTGTTATAAAATTGTTTACAAGTCATACTCATATAGTCATATACATGATTGAATCTAGCGGCTGCTTAAGCCTATTATTTTTCTTCGTAAATTTCACATTCGAAATCCAAATCCAAAATATTAGTCAACATGAGAAATACAACACGTTCTTCATTTGTTTTGCGTATTAAACAACTTAATATATTTCAATAAAATATCAAATAGTAAAGAAATTTCAAATCAACAGTTGTCAAAACTCGTCTGTGATATTATTTTTGGAGGCTTCATAAGAATTGACGTAATGTATAACATATAATA